GACATGGTTGGTTGAAAGTGAATCTGCAACTGTTTGATGACAGATTTGTTCCTTCAGCCTTTTGTAAGCAAAAACTGCAACAACAAAAAATACTGGTTTCAGCTTTTCTTGTGAATGTATGCTAGTAGACTTTATTAACCAGATTTTTTGCTATTTGTTGAAATTCAATAGAGCAGGGCTGCAAATATTTTCATTATACGTTAACCTCCCAATTATTTTCTTATATCATAATAATTATGTCGATAAAATGCCACAGAATTGTGAGAAATGCCTGTTACAATTTCCCACAGCCCAAGGTAACATGTTTAAATGTCTTCTGTCCATCAAACGGTCAGAAACAAAAAGACACAGAGTTAACTATAAAGTATGACAGAGAAATGCATTACCCTCACATGTAAAAAGCTGTAACCAGCAAATGTTTAGGATTATTGCTTTAAACAAACAAATTTCAATTTCAATTGACAAAATAGTTGCTGATTCATTTTCTGTCAATTGACTAATCGTTGCAGCTCTACTATGGACCAAACAATTCAATTAATCAAGAAAATAACATGGACATCAATCGATAATTAAAGTAATAATACATTAGGTTCAATTGAGAAGGGTGTGCTGTAAACTCTTCTACTTTCACTCTCTGCCAACATGTTTACAGCACTGGCTAGTCTTGATCAAGCCCAGACCAATGCTCACTTCCTCCTTAGCAATCCTTCATGGCAGAAGACACAGGAAAACAAAGAGGAGTGAACAGCCTTACAAGAAAATGTGACATTGACGACTCTCTCGCCGTTGTCCAAATTATGATTGTGTCTTTTGTTTTTCTGGTCGGGGGCGGGGGGGACAGTAAACGGTGGTTTGGAGAAAAGAAGCGGGAGTTGGAAAGAAGGCGCAAGGGACGGAAACTGCCAGAAAGTCCGACTGACAGAGCCCCGCACAATGATTCAACTTCCTTCTAACTTCTCACTTCCTCTCTGGCCTGCGCTCCTCTCCAAAGCTCAGAGAGAAAATGTGGCTCAAATTAGAGTTTCCGCTCGCTGGGGAGGCTGAGAAACAGGAAAACAGAGGGAGGGGAAAGAGAGAGAAGAGACTAACAGCTCTCAGTTTACACAAGCAAAAGGTTTGTTAGCTCATCTCTGTGTTTCTCTCACTGCATTCTTTAGACTACAAGCCAGGCCAGACAGCAGACACACACACACACAGACAAACTTAGGGAAGATAGGCAGAGGCAGGAGATACCACTCAACAGTTACAAGGTGAGATTACAACATGGGTGTGCGCCAGCGCCTTTCCAAAAAGTGTGTCGGTGTGGCTGTAAAGCATCCACGGCCCACAGAGCTGCCGAGGTAATGACATTCCTCTGATAACTGAGCGAGGTGCAGGAGATGGGAGCCCGGGTCCCATCAATCAGCAGAGACCCCTTCCTCCTCTCTGCACAATGACTACAGTGTTCTACATGAGCACCCCGCGTCCCTTCAACTGTAGCTCATGACTGGCGGTGGGTTGGAGGTGGAGGGGGAAGACCCTCCCAGAATGAGCTCGCCCTGAGGGTAGCATAAAAGAAAACAGACTCTGGCTATGTCTTGAAGATATTCCTTAACAGGGGGGAGAGGGGGGGGGTCTCCAAGCATGATAATGTAATCCACTGAGTTGCAGCCCACTCACTAGGACAAATGCTAGGAAAAAAATGAAGTAGGATTACTGTGTGTGTGTGTGTGTGGTGTGTGTTGTGTGTGTGTGTGGGTATGTAAAGTATATATATATATCATACATATATATTATATATATACTATTTATATATATATATATATATATATATATATATATATATATACACCACACATAAATATACATATACTTATACACCACACACACACACACACACACATACATAAACATACAATTACACCACACACACACACACACACACACGTATATGTGTGTGTGTTTAAAGAAAGGAGACAGAGAAGAGCTGAGGCAATTACAGCTTCAGCTCAGCAGAAGGCTTTTCAAAAGCATATCCCACCCAGTCTTTGCAGCCGCTCACACAGGCGCAGCCTCAAAAAGGCTGTTAGGACACCCTCTCTCCTCGCCCTGCAGCGCAACATGTTAGCACCAGAAATCAGTTCCTTGGCCTGCTCTTAATATGGACACAATTTCGTTTTTGCTGCTGACGAAGCTGAAGAGCGACTCACAACAACCAAAGGTGAAAAATCTGAGAGAGGGACACATTAGGCTATGTACTATTGAGCATGCGCCTAGTACAAAAGTAAGCGACAGCAAAAGCGGCCTGGCATGCCGAGCCATGCGTCTTATTAAATTAGAAGCCTGGAGAGTACCTAGCATATGAGAGCTGAGACCCTAAGTAAATCCTACGACAATCCCTCTCTCACTTCTATACCTATATCCTTTAACAAGAACACACAACCACCCCTCCCTAATAACTAACCGTTTGTGTGATTGATGTGTAGCATGTCGAAATACAAGTCTAAATGACAAGTTTAATAAAGTAATTATGTAAAGCATGTGTCTTAGTGTCGTGGATGTGATGAGTCTGGATATAGAAAGTTAAGATAAACAACTAACGATAAGAAATGTGTATATAATGTATGTGTGTGTTGAATTAGTTAGCCATGTCCATTATTTAGGGCTCGCGTCTCTCCCTTCTCTCTGTCTCTTTTCCCCGCCCCCTGCTCTCTTCCCACTGCAGCTGTAGTAGATTTAATTCCATTATGTGAAACATCTCTCTAGAAGAGCTGGCGGAATTAGCGGAAGCAGGGCGGCCTCACTTCAGTGAAACATGTGGTCAAAGTCTCATGACCATAATGAGAGGGTGACAGAGATGCCTCCGGTCAGCTTCTGAGAAGCAGAGCACAGAGTGAACCCATGAAGGAGATAGAATGAGGAGGGAAGGGGATGGAGGATGAGATGAGGAGGAGGTGAATAGGGAGTGAGGGCTCCGATGACAAGAGAGAAAAAAAAAATAAAGAGATAGAAAGTAAGAAGGATATTAGGGAAAGTGGGAGGAGCTTACTCCATCAATACGTTAGCGGCTTAATACAGATGGTATCTGTATAGAGATGATATTCGGTCGCATAACATCTTCAACACACACTCAACCGGCGGAACACCTAGTCACACGGATCGCCACACACCACCAACACAACAGCAACACTGAGTCCCGTCAGTGAGTTACATCTCCCCTAATCGTTCTATCTTATGCACATTACGCATTTTTGTTTCTTTGTTGAGAGGTGGAGCAGCAACCTTACAGTGAGACAATTTATACAAAATCATAAAACCT